CTAAAAGCATGAAATACCATTCCAAATTGTCAAAGGCTTTTTCTGCATCAAGAAAAATCATAGCCACTATTTAATTTTTTTAATTTGTGAATAACATTCAAAATGTGTCTGATATATACTCCTTTGGGACAAATCTAGTCTGACTGGATGTCTCACTTCAGTCAGAAAACCATGTATTCTCTTAGCAAGAATTGCCTCTTTAGTTTTATCTTCTGTTATGGGTTAAGAACTTCTTTTTGTTGATCTGTATATTTTCTGAGTAATACTTCTTTCAGATATTCTTCAATCTTTTTTAGATCAGATTCCTGTTTACCATAAATTTGGAGTAATTGACAAATAGCTGCATCATCTCTAATTGTAGAAAATCTCTTTCATCCCAAATAGAAGTAAGTATACTTTTATCCAGCTCCTTATGAAATTGATAAGCCAGCAATTTGTCTGACTTGTGGCCTTTTTCAAAGTATTTTTGCTTGGTAAAATTCAACCTCCTGTAGGTTTCATTTACTTCCAGTAAATTTAGTTGATTCCATAAAAATAGTTTGCTTTTATCTTTTGTTCTAAATCTGAAACTGGATTGAGTTTATGCTCTATTTCAGATCATTCAGCATTGAGTCCTTCTGTTTCTTCATGGCTTGCTTTCCACTTGATGCCAGAGGGATAAACAAAGCTCTCATAAATGCTTCAGTAGCATCCCATACTATAGAAAAAGTCTTCCACATTGTGAAAAGCACACTAAGATATTCCTTTTCCAGATTTTTTAATTGGCCATAAATGCAGATACCTCTAAGAGGAGAGTTGTAGTAGCTGATTACTCCCTACCAGGATAGAAATGTGAGTTCTGATAGAGTTCTCATTTAATTTTCAGAACCATGGAAAAGAAAAAGAAGAGCATTACAGGCACATGATTAGCTATGGAAATGATGTTTTTAAGTGGGATTTAGTTTCTGGGACCATGATCAGTGTTGCCTAGCTAATGGATTGCTAACACAAGATGGAACTATGAAAAATGTGTCTAGCCAAAGTATATTGAACTTGATCAGGAAGGCTTTAAACTGAAATGTGGGTTTGGAGACAGAAACACAATGGTAAGAAGAAGATAAGGATGTGTACACTGCAGGAATACGCAAGGTGCACCTAAGCGTTTAGTGAAATATTAGGAAGAACTGTGGCTGTTCATGACTGCTCATGGTCTTCACTGTCTGTATTAGTGATGTACAAAATGTTCCATGCATAAACAATTTTATGCATAGAAGAGGTGGTTTCTGCTGGTCTGTGCCCAAATACTGTAAAATAGACATTTCAGATGTTTTGGTCTGTACCCAGAACAAAATGCAGCTGTTTGGTTCTGAGCATTGATTGTTGAAAAATTAGTATGAGCAATTTCCAATTTAGCTTGCATCCAGCACACTCCCAGTCAACCCCTATATTTAATTCAGAGCAAACACACACAACATCAGATTAACAAGCAAAAATATAGCTTGATGCTTACTTATTAAACATCAGCAAACATCAAAACAGTTAACTGATAAAATGAGATAAAAAGCAGACAAAACAGGGCAGGGGGAAGCGAGAGGGAGAGTGAACAACAGGCAAGAATTTATCTGTTATCTATGGCTATCCCTATTAAAAGGCACAGAGCTTTCAAGAGCCACTGAAAACAAAGCTGTGGGTAATAAGCATGGACAGTCCCAAAGGCTGAGTGTAAGAAATGATGTATTCAACATGGATCAATGCATGGCTGATCTAGGCATAAGTGGTTTGGAGGGATGGGTGACAAAAAGACCAAGGACATCAATGGGGACCGTAAATGAGTGGAGGCAAGGGAGGGGGAGGATGCTGGGAACATTGGGAGCAGGCGGACAGGAAGGTAGGAGATCACATACTGGGACACCAGCAGTGGCAGCAGCTGAGGACAGGAAGAGAAAAAAAAGACTGGGAAGATCAGGGCCAAGTAGAGTAGTGGAATATGCTATGCAGGGAGATAATGGCAGGGAAGTGAAGATACTAGGAAGATTGAAGGGCAGACAGGGAGCTGCTAAGCCAGGAATTGCCGAGGTGAGGAGGGGATGACCCCTCCTTGCCCTGTCTACATTTTGTTTTGTCTGAAATTCAGAACAGACGAAGCATTCTGAGTTTTGGTTCTCCTGAACCATAGCTGACCTGAACTAGTTATGCAGAACTAGTTTGTTTGCTCCAGGTTTGAAACCATTCTGTGTGCACTGTTAGTCTATATACTAATATTCAGAGTATGGGAAATAAGCATGATGAGTTGAACTGTTACTACCAGAAGTCAGATCTGATTTATTAGGTGAAATGGAAACCTGATGGGGTGACTGAAACCTAGGAACAGGAAACAACTTGTTCAAAAGGAACAGAAGCAACAGAAAGGGAGAAAAAATGCATTGTATGTTAAAAGATATCCCCCAAACCCACAAGAAAAGAACTGTGCAGGGATGTCAAGAGCATATGGGCTAAAATACGTGAAAAAAATCAAATAAAATACTTTTGTGCAAAGCTTATATTTGGGGGATAGTACATTCTCAGGAACACTGAACTTTTTGTCCACACTCATCTAGCCATACTAGGGGTGGCCCAGTAGTATTCCATAAATAAATGTTCCACAGCAGGATGAGTTTTGTGGCATTTGGGGGATGGTCCAGCCCCAATTTAGTTTTGGAAAATCAGATCAATCCAGAATGTTGAAATCAGTGTAATTGGTGTAATCTGGAAGAAAAACAACTTTCTTTTCCCAGAGCATTCTGCCCCAGAATTGTAAGATTTGTGCATCCCTAGAAAAAAGCAGCTCCACTCTGTTTTCTACTGACCACCCAAGTAAGAAGGTATCAAATTGCAGACTTTTCAAAGAGACATGAAGTACTAGTAATGGGAAACTTTAATTACCCCAACATTTGTTGGGAAATAAATTCTGCCATTAATTTCCTGACCTGTCTTTCTTCTTTAGAGAGTGTAGGAAGGCACAAGAGGATTTGTTATCATCAACATGATCCTAATCCGAGAGAAGTTCAATAAACAAAATGGAAGTGGTAGAATCCTTATGCAAAAAATGAGGAGAGCTATGTTAGTCTATGGGGGAAAACTCAGAAAGAGTCTGGAAGCACCTTTTTTGACTAACAAATTTTATTCAAAGGTGCAACCAGATGCCTTCTAATAATTTCTTAGACCTTAAGAAATCAGTTTAGAACAACGATAACTAGGATTCCATGGCAGGAGAAGTTAATGGGAAAAGGACCCTAAGGTGGTGGGGACTTCCTGGAACAGCTAATCCTGAAAACAAAGGATCACAAAAAATTCCAGTATGATATGTGGATATGTTTATGTGAATAAGCTGGCATGGGTAGCAGTTAGTCAAAACAATGGGTTATGGTAGTATTTCCCCCACCAGTTTCTCTAGTTCTGTTGCTCACAATAGTGGATTTCCCATTACCCTCTTTTTCTCCTGCTTAATGGAGAGTTTTGGTTTTGTTGGTCCTTGTGTGGTTGGGAGTTTTTTTCCATTGTTTTGGAGAATATGGGATAATAGAATTATCTTGATTGGCAATTGCTTTCCATGTCCAGAGCCTCAAATTGGTCAGTTCTGATACTATGAACTTTCTCCTAATTCATCCACTGTTTATTGCCACATGCTTCTCCAATTTGGATGCCTTTTCCTCCCTCCAGCCCTCCTGTCTCACCAGCTGTCTTGCAAAATTCTCCTATTAGTTTGCTCTGGTTCATTCACTCTCCTGTAGTTGTGAACTCAGCTGTCTTTTTTTCTAATGCCCATATCCTTTGCAGAATGACAATTCTTCTGCTGCATAAAAGAAGGTTTTTATTTTCTTTTATTCTTTTTTTCAAGCTTCCCATGTTAACAGATGATATATTTTACGCTTACAGGAAAAAATTGTTGGAGACATCTGCCATGATCTCCTTTGCTGAACTCCTGTTAGTTCACCCCTTCTCATTCTTCTTAGAAACTGGCTGCCTTGTGTCCAAAGTGGAGGAAGAGGTAATGGTCAAGAGGTCGGAAGCAGATGCCACAGAATACCCCAGAGACTTGATCCTGGTGTGGGGCTTGAATAAGCCCCATTTCTCTCATCACTATGAAATCTGAGAAAGTTCTGTTGGCCATGACCAGTAGAAGAGTAACACCACCATGTGATGGCACAGCAACAGAGAGCATTGGTGGAATGCGAGATTGCAAAGCCAGGTTCCTTGGAAATAACAAGCACTAGCATCATTATCTGCCAACCTGGTGTATAAGATTACAGTGACTTGCCTGTTGGGTGGTGGAAACAATGTTTGACACCCATCTTGTTGCCCCATCCAAGAATCCTAACATTGCTTCAAATACCCAGGCCTTTTGACTCTAGCCTGCCCCATCACTACTCCTTTTGGCTCCTCCCTTCTGACCTGCTACTGCAATTCCAAACTCAATGCCTGGATTACTTAAGCATCTATAACATCTATACATACGTACATACATACATACACACATACATACATACACATACACACACACACAAATAGCATCTATGATATCTGTACAGCCTCGAACTATCTGCCTCCTCTTGCCCTGAATATTTAGAATGAATAACCACATGTAGTTCCCTGGAATTTGGAGCCCTTCTAGTCCTATATGACAAGAGACTTTGCAGCAACTGGCCAGGAAGACAGCACTCTTGATAGTGTGTCTTGTTCTTGCTTGGCTTTTTTACTGAAATGAAAAGTTATAGATCTGAAATAAGTCTCTAATGCAGTGCTTGGTCAACCTTGACAGTTTTAAGATGTGTGGACTTCAACTCTCAGAGTTCCCCAACCAGCATTCTTGGAGTTGAAGTCCACACATGCTAAAGTTGCCAGTTTGAGGAACACTCCTCTCTCGCGGTTATTACTGTAGGTATAGCGGGATTCGAGGTTTCATAGTCGTTTCTCTGAACAGGCACGTATCTCTCTATCCTTTCTTGCCTCTGTGGTGCAGGCGGACGCAAGGCGCCGTGGGTGCGCATGCGTGGATGAGCAGGCTGAGCCTGTGTTTTGCCCTCGGCCATGGTCGTGTCCTCTGTCTCCCGCTCCGCGTCCCAATACCGCCCGGCGCCTCTGGCGAGGTTGCCGCCCCAGCTGGACCCCAATGAATACCGCTGGAGCCTCGAGAAACGCCGCGCGGAAGCCGAGCGGCTCGCCCTCCGCGCCCGCCTCAAGCGCGAGTACATGCTGCGGCTTAATGACCCTCGACGGACGGAGCTCATCGTGAGTCGGGGCCGGGGCCGGGTGGGGGAGCGGGCCGCGGCTTTCTCCCAGAAGCGGGGGAGTTCATTCCGCTTGCCGGGCAGTCGGTCAGGCCAGGCGGAGGCTGACGGGGCCGAGTCTTCGCCCTCCGAAGAAGAGCCGCGTGAGGCCTGCTTTGAACCCCCGCTCCCCCCCCCATGAGGAGCTTGTTGCACTCTGCTGGGGGGAGCGCGGTGGCAGCCCTCAGCCTCGCAACCAGCTCCATCCGGAGGTCGAGGAGAGCCGAGTTTTGAGCCTTTTCATGTAGTACGTGGTGCAGAAAAAGCCACGAAATGAGCGAAAGCGTTGAGGTGAGTTCCGTTTGCTTGCTTGTTCCCATAGTTGCTTTCTTGCATTACCTAAGTGGCCGATTCTTCATTCTCTTTGATTTAGGAAGACCCCGCTGTAATTCGTTGGGATTATGCCAGGAGGCACAATGTCTATCCTAGTTTCCGCTTTACCCCTAAAAGTTCCCTACTGAGTCTCCTCTGGGGAGCAGGACCCTTTGTTTTCTGGTGGTATGTCTTGACGACCAGTAGGGTAAGTTTAAAACTTTATATCATTACTTTCTATGTATCTACTGTATCTACTGTAGTTGGTTTTGCAGGTAGAAGTGGCTTCCTGCCTGTACAGTAAATGCTTCAAGTGTCCCTAAAGCCTAGGGAATAACGTGAAGCATATGCAGTTTATCTGTTTTACTGTGACATTTGTTATTATCTTTCTTCCAAGAGACAGACAAATAGCTACCCTTCTATGAAATTCCTGTGCTTGGAAATATCTGTATGGGAGGATGCTTATCTCATTGGGCTGAACTGTGGAGGCACTTTGAAATCTAGGTGCCTCTGATAATTGGTACAGTTCATTTCTGAATTTAGAATTAAAGAAACTCTTCACTGACATTGGAACTTGCTGTGTTTGAGAAAAGTCCTGGGTCAGCACTACCACTGATTCATAAAATCCTAATTCACCTTACACTGAGCTAAACATGGAAAAGACCAATATTTTTCTATTGATTTGGACATAAATCTGACTAAATTTAAATGAAAAAGTCATTAGGCGTGTGTTGTGAAACCCAGAGACCTGAAAGCTTGTGTTTTCAGTTGTAGGCAACCAAGCAATGAAAGGTCCTTTGTTATTTCTCCTGTAAAAACCAAATGTCATAGAATATAGTGTAAATATTGCTGTTAACTATTTTTATGCCCGTTTGGAGTTTTAACAATTGGCAGCTATTTTTATTTCTTTAGTTCTTAAATTTACAATTTTCTAGATTTTTGATTCATTTTCTGGTGGAAGTTGTCAGTGTTACTATTAAATCAGGACTAATTAAATAACACAGAAGCAGCAGTACACTATATAGCATGTTGATTTAATTTGTTTAAGTAAAACCTTATTGATAAAATGAATTTCTGAGTGAGTTAAAATAGAGTTCAATTCTATTTCAATTCAGTTCTGAGAATCAAGTGTTCAGTACTCCTAGTCTTGACCAGTGACATGATATCCAATGTTTGCTAATTTTATTTACTCATATAAGATTTTTATCAAATCTTACATTTTATATCAAAAATTTTATATCAGATTTTTAAAGATATTATTTGTCATCATGCTTATTTATTCTGCAGGCAGTTGGACAATGTAAAAGTAAATATTAAAAACTAAGAAAAATGTCAAAAATCATCATAGCTTAAAGTATCTGCATTTAGTTTATTCCTGCACATGTTTAGCTGCCTTGTAACGTTAAACAGAATAGTGGTATAAAATGAATAAAATAAAACGCTTACTCAGAAATTAACCTTATTAGTTGGATTTTCTCCCAAGTACAGATTGCAGTCTTAGTTTGCTCAGTTTTTGGAAGAGTGTTTCTGTTTCAAAATTTCTTTAATCCTTGGGAGTTTTTTTTTTCCTGTTTCTATGCAGGGTTATAAAGAAAAGCTCAAAAATGAAGGCAGATATGAGGAAACATTCCGTACCGCCTATTAAGTCTTTGACAACTATGTGTGACAATCTTGCTGAAGAGACTTTATTACCTCTCTGTAAGTCTACTTTCAAAATAAACCTCATTAATTAAATTATGGTTTATTTTCATGTCAAGAGTATTACTTTATAATAAATCCTGTTTGGATTAATGGCTAACAATTTTTAATTTTTTAAAGAAAAGGCAAACTATCTCTATTTCCCCTCCCCAGTTCCAATAATGGCCTGTAATTATGCCATTTAAATTCAGCCATCATGTGATTGATCTTCCATATCCATATGAATAATTTGTAGAAAATTAATTTTAACTATTTAAACATTCTGAGCATAATGTCTTCTCATCTCTTATTTCAATAAGATGTGGGTATTTTCACCCTGAACTGTTCCCAGAATAATTTCTTGGTTTGTTTCAAGCATCTGATAAAGAAATTCCTTTCTCACAAAAGTTCCTACCTATATTACTCTTCATAGTAACAATGGAAAAAACATTATTTTTCCATTGTTACTGTAACTTTACATTTCTATCTGATAGAGCTGTTTCTTTTTTAACTTATTCTGAACTTTCTCTAACTTGGTTCAGATAATGTGAAGGAATTCTCACAAATAACTGCACTGCGCTGAATATTTTGAGTAAAAATAATGCAATTGTGCAGTGCTTCAGATTCAGAGGCATAAAGGTGCTCTGAAGTCCATGGAGACATGAATGTGGCATATACCTCCAACTCATTAATGCATTTGTTTTAAGGAACTCTGACAAGGGCTATATTCGCATTCCCATGTGCTATGAAGAGCGCATGTGTATGTTTTTTCTCTTTCAGTCCGAAGCAATGTACCGTCCTTATAAATACCACTTTAATATGTATGACAAGCATGCTACTAGTTAAGAGAGTTTGGTCTGTGTATATACAATCTTTTTTAAAAACATGAATTGACACAATTTCTTTTTTTGTTTGTTTGTTTGTTTGCATCTGCTTCCCTGTATTCTGGATTCATATACCCCCAAAAGGATAAGCCATCATGTGGAAATACTTCTGAGGGCTTAGCAGTGTGTGAACAAACATATCAACTTTCAACTGACTCCTGCTATTCACTAAACAACAAACTATTCTAGTTTACTTAGCTCTTCTCTATTGGCAATCAGAAAGGCAACCCCTCAACTCTACTTGAGTTGCACTTGCAATCCCTTATAGAAGTAGATCACTTCATTCTCGCATTCTGGGTAACACTTCATTAGTCTTGGAGCACATTCTAATGATCTCCAGTCCACCCATTTAGGTCTCCATCAGCTCAGATGATGTTCCTGCCCAACCTCAAAGTTGCTTCTCACACCATCAGTTCTAGTTAACTGTCCAGTGCTGGAATGCACTGTGAAAACATTTTTGGGAATGTTTTTCTCTGCAGTCCCTGTCTTGATCTAGCCCATTTTCAGACTTGATCTTTACCTACTTCTCCTCCCATCCCCCACCCTACACTTGACCCTATTCTGTTTTGGAGTTATCTTGTTGACAGGGAAAGTTGTAATCCCCTCTACCTAATATTTTTCCCAAATTTTAGTGGTCTGGAAAGAATAAAAAAGACATGTATAGGGGGTATAAAAAGGAGCAAGTAATTAAGAGTACATAAAGGTGGCCTAGATTTGTAGATGCTGTTGGGAAAGCTAACAGTCAGAACCAGTTGAAGATTAGCAAAGGATGCTAAGGACAACAAAAAAAGCTCCTTCAGATACGTTTAAAATAAAAATAAAATAGAAAAATGGCATTCCAGTAAACAAATTACAAAATAATTTTGGGTAATAAAGAAGAGCTATTCAGTGCCTATTTTGCCTTGGTCTTTCTAACAAGAGGTTATGTGTTCCACCAGATAATTGTGAAAAGCAGGATTCCAGCTCAAGCTTAATAGAAACCTAGGGAACATATCCTGACCTTGAATTAATATAGAATTCCAGGTTAGATTGGCTGCATCATATGTTACTCATGTCTCTCCAGCAACATTCCCCCACTGCATTTTTCTCTGCCATGTCTGCGTCTGCCTTTCAGACTCTGCCTTTCTCCCTTTTTCTTGCCTGATCCTTTCCAATCCATCTTTCCTGCAACTTTTTTTAGATATTTAATCGCGCCTTTATTATTTTTATAAAGAACTCAAGGTGGCGAACATACCTAATACTTCTTCCTCCTATTTTCCTGACAACAACAACCCTGTGAGGTGAGTTGGGCTGAGAGAGAGTGACTGGCCCAAAGTCACCAGCCAGCTTTCATGCCTAAGGTGGGACTAGAACTCATAGTCTCCTGGTTTCTAGTCTGATGCCTTAATCGCTAGACCAAACTTTGGGTCATGGCACCCTTTTCTCAAATTTCCATTGCTGCTGTGTTCCTAGAAGAACCAAAAAGATGCTGTTTCTCTTTTTTACTCCCCCTCTATCCTTCCTTCCTATACTGTTTGCTTCTTCCTACAAACAAAGTGAATTAGTAGCCCTGAGAATCAACCTTGAGCATTATGGCATTCTTTACTGAAGAAACGTAAATTATACCTATTTTCCTGATTTTTTTTTTTTTTGCAAAGGAGATAGGCAGAAGAAATGTCTGCTATATATTGTAGAAAATTAAACTGAAGATATATATAAATTTCCCTCAAACCCACAGAGATTATGCAACCCTGCCTAAATGGCAATTTCCCATTCTTGAGCTCAATGACATATTCTGTATTTGAGAAGTCACCTTATAAAAGAACTTCTTCAACTATGTGAATCTATATTGTTAAATCAAACTTAAGTTTTTTTGTGTTGGGTTTGGGAATTTTTTGTTCCTTTTTTTTTTTTTTTGCATTGGGTACGACATGATGGGAGGCTTACAGATATTCCCAGTTTCATAACAGTTTTACATGAACAGTTCACATTAGCTTTAATTTTTTTCAGTTGCAAGACATTCATCTTTTCAGATGCTTGTATGAAGTGGACTAAGATATTGTTCCCATAATTTTCTTGAACTACTTGGGAAAGAAGAACCTGGGTGTGGATACTTCTGGCATCTTCATTTATGTTTGGCATTAAAATTAATCTTCAGGGCTTCCCAACACTTGTAGTAATTCTTATCTAAGCTGGTGTTCAGCCCCCATTTGGTCACAGCCAAGCTAAAGGAAGATTCAAACATGAAGGCCTATTGGAAAAACACATAAGACATATTGCAAGAGTGAATAGATCAGTATCCGGTTTGTATGAAATCAACAAAAATACTGCTTTGACTATTACTTGTACACTGTTTTAACTGATTTGAGCAATGTTATTGCTGTTTTGCTTTTGTCATATGTTGGTGTTCATTTTATCTTCTCATTTGGCTTGTTATATTTTATGTAATTTTGGAGAGAGCCTGGATCCTAATATGAAATAAAACATTAGAAAAACTAGGAATTATTGAACTGAATTGCCAAATATTTAGTATATGAACAAATCTAACCAAAACGAGTTTAGCAGGAAATGTTATTGCACAGTGAAACAGGCTATTCCATGAGTTTGGTGGACAATAAGCATTCATATGAGAATTACAAAGACTTGTAGTTTTGTAGCAAAGCTTGAAATTATATTGGAAAATATTTTCTTAAATAAAGTCAATTACTAGGGTATCTTAGTGTTTTACAGTAAAAGCAGTGGTTTACATAAAATCAGATTTAAAGCCAGAAATACTAAAATCAACAATTAAAACCCTATTTACAATTATGTATTTAGGGTCTTTTGAAAGACAGCAAACCTTTGGTCTCCTCAACTCAGCATGATTTAAAAAAAAATAAGGAAATTACAGGGGAGGATTACCCTCTACTCACCACAAAATGAGGAGTATAGGCAAATCTCCTTGTGCTTGAACTCAGTGAGTAGCAGTGGAGAGGCATTACTAGCTGTGTCTCCATTCACACTCACAGTTCTTCTCTTCAGGGTTATATATACACTGCCACTATCTATATTCCCACCCCCCCCACCCCCGTCTTACTATTCCAGTTAGTCACACGACTATAGCTCTTGTTTTAAAAACCCTTTTCTGAGAAAAGGAAAGGCTGTCACTTCCAGTGTGGCCAGCTTCCACATTAATGTGAAAATTCTTAGATTTCCAAACACTTACCATAGTTCCCTCTGCAATTCTCTCAGGCTGCTGCTTGCTTGTGCTGGCCTTCTCAAAACATTCAGCATCTGGTCCATGGGGTATCATCATGCTGTGCAGAGTGGCTCCTCCTGGTAGAAATCCTAGTTCCTTTGCCTCATAAGTCCCTTTGATCAAGCCCATAAATTCACTCATACAGTTCCCTGTGGAATTTTTTAAAAAAGTAATGATCAGCTTAATTTAAATTTATTGAGATTTGATCAGTTAAATTGCAGTATCCCAAGACTGGAATGAGTTTGAAACATCTAAACTACTGTACAAATTTGATATTTAGCATTTAGTGATACAGAATTAGAACTGTCCAAAGTCCCATTCAGTGTTGTTTTGCAGAATAAATAAACAGGCTATTCCTTCTCTCCATTCTCTTTAGTATAGATTTCCAAGAATTGCAGGAGATACTTCTCATCCACTTAATTTGCAGCCCTTTTCAAGGGGCTGTCAGACATTTGGCCTGGTGACAAAATTCTGTTAAATGTGTCTTCTGATTCTTGCAGATATGTGAAATCACAAAGCAAAAATGACACACGTACTGTGATAATAAGGTGGGCGGAAAGTGTTGGTGGCCACTGCCCAGCGCGGTGGAAATATAACAAAATCAGCAACTGCCACTCCAGGATGTGTTGATTTGGCAGTTAAGACAGTAAAGATTGAAGGATCCTAAAAAAAAAAAAACAGCATGGGTGGGAGATTGACAATTATTAAAACAGAGCAGTGCTAATCTGAAAAATCAACTATTTTAAGGCAATTTCAGAGTTGTAACTGTAAATCTCTTTAATTTCAGTGTAAACTACAAAGCAGAAGCTTGTAATTTCTTTGAGGCTTCCCAAAGTCTAGAGTCTGTTTTATTTAATTCAGAAAAACTAACCAAGATACTCAGAGTTGAGACTTAACAAAAACTTACCGCATGATCAAAAGCCACAGAATTTATGACCATGAAATTGCTGAGATTGTACTTGTATGGTGTGTAATTCCCATGCCAAGCGACAACATTGAAGGGAGAGCAGTTCTGTAAGATTAAACAACACAGCTATCTTAAGATGTGGAAAGTATCTGATAACAAAAACCACCGTTTTAAAAAAATTCTACATTTCCTTAAGGGAGCCCAACAGCTAACAACATAGATAAAGCATAAATGAATAATGTAAATTACTATTACAATATAACGATAATGAAATATAGCAGCAACACCGTATTTTCCCCATGTCTCTTTTTCCAGGATAGCAGAGAAACTGTCACCTTGGGAGTGGAACATTTCTATTTTCCTTAAAAGCACTGTTTGCCAATTGTTCTCCTCATCCATTGGTAACTGACCAGCAGAAGCAAACTGGAAAACCAGGAACTTATTGCACTGACTCCCATGCTTCCACAACTTCTGCCTAAATAATCATAGATAGGATCTTAAGCAGTATGTGGAAAGCTCTTGCACGATAATCCTGCCTTGTTAGGAGATGCAGAATTACCATTTAGTTCCATTTGTATTTTCTGATCTTTAAAGACATTAATTTTAATAATTGTAATATAATTTATTAAATTGTATGCCACCCAACTATCAACTATCATGTTTGTCCTCTATTTCTTATATGATATATAGGTACATCAAGCACTTTCTATATTTCCATGCAGCATGCACACATCCTCGTTTTATAGTATTTTTGATACAAGAAAGTTGAATAGGAAACAGTGAAAAATAATTTGAATGTACATTCACTTGTTTTAAAAGAAGAAAAGCCTAGTTGTGGGCTAGGTTAATATCACAACCCTTCAAAGCTAATTTTTAATGCAATTCTTAATTTTCTAAATTTTAACTTCCAACCTGTTTTGCCTCAAAGAGCTTCCCTTGGTATTTGCTGATCACTGTGTAACCCTCAGCTATTTGGCCATCTTCATACCAGGCAACTGGCACAAGGAAGTCTCGTGGATTAGCTAAGCCATTGGCTCCTAAAAAAGACATAAAGGCTTTGTAACCAATTGTATATTTGAAATTTGAGATTAGTCTAATCATTGACAGCTTCACATTTCTATTTATTTAATTTTTCAAACTGCCCAGTAGCCAAAGCTCTCTGGGCAGTTTACCATAAAGCACACTAAAAAAATACAACTTGAATAAAAGCATAAACAATAAAATACAAAATTAAAAAATCATATACACTAATCAGCTGCAAGGTGGTCATTTAAAGTCTAAAACAATATGAATTAGAATACACTTAATGGCCAGTTAAAAAGCCTGGGAAAACAGATTTTCACCTGGTGCTGAAATGATTTTAGTGTGGGGACCAATTAAGCCTCCCAGGAGAGGGCATTCCATAAATAGGGTGCCCCTGCAGAAAAACCTCTCCCCTTGTTAGAGAGCTTCATTAGATTATCTTAAGGTCTAGGTAAGGGCTCACAGGAAAAGGCACTCCTTCAGGTACCCTGGTTCTAAGCCATGTAGGGCTTTAAAGGACAAAACCAGCATTTTGAATTGATCCAAAAATAGAACAGCAGCCAGCATAGATGGTGAAAAACTGGCATAGTACGTTCAAATTAGCCAATCCCAATGAACAGCCTAGCTGCTCTATTTTGAACTACAGTGGGGCAAAAAAGTATTTAGTCAGCCACCAATTGTGCAAGTTCTCCCACTTAAAAAGATGAGA